TAGGTTTTTCCTTTTTCTCTTTTTTTGAATACTTCACATACCTAAAATCAATTTTCCCTATATATCAATTCACATTATTCTTGGCAAAAAGGTTTATTTAATTTTTATTTCAATTTTAATTTCCAACTCAAAAATTTTTGTAACGATAAGAGAAGGAAAAATTTCTATAAATCTGGTATTATTTCATTTTGTTGAAAGTTTTGGATAAAAATAAATTTATAAAAAGCTCTTTCAAAAGCAAATTTTAACTCAATATTTAGGAAATATTCGAAAATTTTTACTCAGAGAAAAATTTCTCTATATTAACTATCAATATGGAAAATCGAGAAAAAAAATTTATTAATGATTTTGTTTTTTTTAAATTCACGAGGAAAATTGTAAAATTTGTGGAATAATATACAATTAAATGAAATTAATTTATACCCGGGAATTTTTTTTCTTTTTTTAAAAAATAAAAATGAAGACCTATTTTACTTTTCCTCGACGAAAAATATCCCGTGAAAAACTTGTAGATATTGGCTGTAAATCAAAAGTAATATCTGCGAACGAACTTTAAATACAGGCCAGAAGGGAAATTTATTTGAATAGCAAAAAAAAAAAAAAAAAATGGTGGTGGTGCAGATTATTCTCTACGAAAAAAAATTATTAACAAAATTAAGAATTCAAAAAAAATTTTTCGAATTATTTACATTTTAAATAAATGAAATCTATTGAATTTATTTAATTCGAATAGAATTTATTTCATTCAAATAGAATTTATTTAATTTCAATAAAATCAATTTAATTTAAATAGAATCAATTTAATTTGAATAGAATCAATTTAATTTGAATAGAATTAATTTAATTTAAATGAATTAATATTTTTTTTAATAATTGCAAAATTATCGATAAATTCGGACTAAATTTATTATATTTAACTGAATACTTTGTATGTTGACATTAACTTTCGATTCGATTTTGACTTTTACTTCAACTTTGACCATTTATTCGATTATCACTTTTTGACATTGATTTTAACTTTGACTTTGACTTTCGATTCGATTTTTATTTTGACATTGGCTTTAACTCTGATTTTCGATTCAATTTTGACTTTGATTTTTCGACTTTCATTTTGACCTACAATTTAATTTTGACTTTGAATTTGAATTTGAATTTTATTTTTACTTTAACATTGACTTTAACTTTGACTTTCGATTCGATTTTGATTTTAAAATTGACTTTAACTTCGACTTTCGATTCGAATTTGAATTTGATTTTGCGACTTTAATTTTGGCTTTCGATTCCATTTTGATTTTGACTTTAACTTTGACTTCTGATTTAATTTTCACTTTGACATTCATTTTAACTTAGATTTTCGATTCAATTTTGACTTTAACTTTGATTTTCGATTCGATTTTGACTTTTACATTGACTTTTTGACTTAATTTTGACATTGATTTTGATTTTTGATTGAATTTTGACTTTAACTCTGATTTTCGATTCGATTTTACTTTGATTTTGACATACAATTAAATTTTGACTTTAACTTTTGATTTGATTTTCGCTTTGACATTGATTTTAACTTTGATTTTCGATTCAATTTTGACTTTAACTTTGATTTTCGATTCGATTTTGACTTTAAATTTGATTTTTGTTTCGATTATGACTGTTACATTGACTTTTTGACTTTGATATTGATTTTTCGTCTTTGACTTCGAGTTTTGATTTAATTTTCACTTTCACATTGACTATAACTTAGATTTTCGATTCAATTTTGACTTTAACTTTGATTTTCGATTCGTTTTTGACTTTAACTTCGATTGTTGATTCGATTTTGACTTTTACATTGACTTTTTGACTTAATTTTGACAGTGACTTTGATTTTCGATTGAATTTTAATTTTGATTTTGACTTTAACTCTGATTTTCGATTCAATTTTACTTTAATTTTGATATACAATTAAATTTTGACTTTGACTTTTGATTTGATTTTCATTTTGACATTGATTTTAACTTTGATTTTCGATTCAATTTTGACTTTAACTTTGATTTTCGATTCGATTTTGACTTTTACATTGACTTTTTGACTTTAATATTGATTTTTCGATTTTAACTTTGACTTTTGATTTAATTTTTACTTTAACATTGACTTTAACTTAGATTTTCGATTCAATTTTGACTTTAACTTTGATTTTCGATTTGATTTTAACTTTTTGACTTTAATGTTGACTTTAAAATTGATTTTTACTTTCGATTTGATTTTTACTTTGACATTGATTTTAACTTAGATTTTCGATTCAATTTTGACTTCAACTTTGATTTTCGATTCGATTTTGACTCTTACATTGACTTTAACGATGATTTTTGATTGAAGTTTGATTTTAAAATTGATTTTTTGACTTTAAATTTGATTTTTGATTCAATCTTTACTTTGAAATTGACTTTAACTTTTTATTCGTTTTTGACTTTGATAATGATTTTTCGACTTTAACTTCGACTTTTGATTTAATTTTCACTTTGACATTGATTTTAACTTAGATTTTCGATTTAATTTTGACTTCAACTTTGATTTTCGATTCGATTTTGACTTTTACATTGACTTTTTGACTTTAATTTTGACTTTAACGATGATTTTCGATTGAAGTTTGATTTTAAAATTAATTTTTTGACTTTAAATTTGGTTTTTGATTCAATCTTTACTTTGAAATTGACTTTAACTTTTTATTCGTTTTTGACGTTGATATTGATTTTTCGACTTTAACTTCGACTTTTGATTTAATTTTCACTTTCACATTGACTTTAACTTAGATTTTCGATTCAATTTTGACTTCAACTTTGATTTTCGATTCGATTTTGACTTTAATTTTGACTTTTTGACTTTGACATTGACTTTAACTTTCATTTTCGATTTAATTTTTACTTTAACTTTGATTTTTTGACTTTAAATTTGATTTTCGATTCAATCTTTACTTTGAAATTGACTTTAACTTTAACTTTTGATTCGTTTTTGACTTTGACATTGATTTTTCGACTTTGACTTCGACTTTCAATTCGACATTGACTTTGATATTGACTTTTTAGACTTTCAAAGAGAAATTTAAGGTGAAGGTCAAAATAAATGTCAAAGACAAAGTTAAAATTCAGAGTCACAAAGTCAAAGTAAAACCCGATAATTAAATTTTTCTATCAATTCTTATTTGTCAATTTTTTATTTTAGTTTTATTTACATCAATAAACAAATTAATTATAAAGTAAAAACGTGTATCTTATTTGTAAAATTTAATTTAAAAAACAGAATTTATTCTTTCCTTTTTCTTTTATTTTTCACAAAGAAAGTATCGTTCCAACCGTCTCATAATTCCACTTCATGGAGATTTATAAAAAGCTTAACGAATTACACCACTTTAAAGAGCCCATAAGAAATTTTTCTTTATTACGAATTTTTTTTTCTTCTCAGAAAAAGGGAGGAGAGAAAAAAAAGAAAAAGAGAGAGAGAGGGAGAGGAGGGTGAAAAACAACCCTTAGCACTATCTTATATTGTACATAATGCGAGTCCTAAATTCCAAGGACAATTCAAGGAAGGCCACGAGAAAATCAGAATAAAGGAACGCGTGAAATTTTCGGCGGGAGTCATACAACCTCAAGAATTTTAAGAGCTGAGGCCAACCGCCACCACGGATCCCGGCAAAGAGAGCTTGCGCAAGTTTCACGGAATACCGGAGCTTGCAATAGAGAGCTTTCACCAGCAGCATCCAGTAGCCGGCTGCCTGGCCTCGATTTCAGACATAGTTCTCACACCCCCCCACCCCTTCTCTCATTCAAAAATAACAGTATCATTCGTGCTCTTCCTTGTCACTTAGTCACGTTTTAACCTAACGTGTCAATTTTAAAAATTTTTTTTCCCTAAGAAAAAAAAATAATCCCCATTTTCGCGAGTGATTTTTTTAAAAAATTTTTTAAACTGTTTATTGTGTCTACTTGAAAATTACTTTCAAAGTGGTAATTTCATTTTGTAAAAGGAAAAAAAAAAATTGACAGTGCGTGGAGAATATAATTAAATTTCCTATATCAGGTGGAATGGAATTTAATTTAAATTTAAAATTAATTTCCAGAATTGTGTTAATTACAAAATTAACTTCAAAATTAGTTCACTTTAATTTGAAAATTATTTTCAAAATTGTTTCAATTTAATTGCAAACTGATTTCGAAATTATTCACATTTAAATGTAAAATTGACGTTAAATTCATTCCAGTTTAATTTCAAAATAATTTCGAATTTATTCCAATTGTTTCCTCATAGAGGAAGGATTGTATTTCAAAATTATTTCAAATTCAAAATTATTTCGACTTCAAAATTGTTTCCACTTCAAAATTATTTCGACTTCGAAATTATTTCAATTTGAAAATTGATTTCAACATACTCTAAAAATTAAAAATTTGATTTCAATTTACTTTCGAAGATTTCAATTTAATTTCACTTCAAAGTTATTTCCGTTTTCAAAAATCATTTTCAATCAACTCTCAAAATCGAAAAATCGATTTTAAATTAATTTCGAAATTGATTTGAATTTACTGTCGTTTCAATTTAATTTCACATGAGATACTCAGTAAATTAAAAGAGAATCGAATAATTAGCAAAAAAAAAAAATTTTTTTCACAACCTTCAATGGACAATTTTTAATTACTTAAAATTCTCTAAAATTCAAATGAACCGAAATTAATGTGAGCGAAAATAGAAAGGGAATAATAGAATTATAAAATGAATTAACTAAAAGTGAATGGTTTAAAAATTTAATAAATTTAAAATTTAATAAATTAAAAAGCTAATAATTTGAAAATTTAATAACTAAAGAATGTAATAATTTAAAAATTTTAGAATTTCAATTTAAACAAGACCTTCTCATTTTTGACAAGAATGTAAAAAATTAATAAATTAATAATATAATAATTAAAATGTTTGATAACTCAAAAGTTTATAAACTCAAAGGTATAATAATTTAAAAGTTTGCTAATTTAAAAGTTTAATAACATAAAAATTTACTAATTAAACACTTTTTTATAATTTATCAACTTCATAATCCAGGAAATTAAAGAAAGTGAACCAAACTGAAACAACAATTTCATTCACTTGATTATTAAAAAAAAAAACTTTAATAATGAAAAAACTAAAAGAAAAAATAAATCCTGTTTAAAAAAAATTTATAAATACCAAATATAAAATGTTCAATAATTGCTAGTATTGATAAATACCGAATGATGTGAACCCAAAAAAAAATTCAATCTCATAAAAGAAAAGTGATTAAAAAAAAAATTTAATTAAAAGTGTGAAATTAATTAATATCGATTGCAAAAGGAAAAATGGTTGATCTAATGGCAGGTGGTTGATTTATTTTGGAAAATATACACAAACGTCATCCTGTATAGTTAGGGGACGATGTGAGGCTTCGATCATGAAGGTAAGAATCCAAATTCGTTACAAAACTTTTCCATTGAAATCGAACCAAGTTTTTCTTAAGAATTTGTCTTTTTTTTTCTTCAAAGAGTAAAAAAAAAAAAAATTCAACTACTTCAAAATGTCTCAAATAGTTTGCAATGTGTGTAAGACTTTCGCCATAGGATTTTCTTTCGTGGAAAGGAAAGACATGTCTTTCAAAACAAAAGTACAAGTTTCTGACATCTTTAAAACGTTTTTCTTTTTACTATGAAGAATTATTTTTAATCTCTATTTATTTTTTATTTTTAATATTATTAATCATTAATTATTAATATTACTTGAATTTAACACTCGACGAGATTTTAATCAACTGTACTGATAATTATCATGATTACTATTATAGAAAAAAATATATTAATTATGAAAATTAATTAATAATTCATAAACAAAATTTTAATTATTTATTGATAAAAAATATTAGTTTTTATTATTTCAATATTTTCATAATCGTTTTTCATTTATTATTTAGACAGATAATCAAATGAATAAATTATTAATATTTATGTTTATTAATAGAAATATCAATTAAAAATATTAATTAAATTGAATAATTTCAAACTAGAATTTAAATTATTAGCTAATAAAAAATATTAAAAGTATTATTTTATTTATTATTTAATTATCTTTACAGTTGTTTTTCACATGTTATTAAAAATTATTATTAATATCTATATTTATTAACAGAAAATATTGGGTAAAATTATTATTTATTTAATTATTTTAATATTTATTCTATTCAACTTTAAAAAGATGTTTTTTTCCAATCACTATTTTTAACCTCCTAAAAACAATTTTTTTCTTGATTGGAATATTGTTTTTGATTACATGAAAATCAATTAAAAAACTTCCGAATTGAATTTTAATTGTTTATTAACAAAAATAACAATTGTGACACAATTTGAAAAAAGGACATAAGAAGCAAAAAATTTGAGGTTGAGTTTGTAATGTTTGGAATGAAAATTTATTAAAATTTACTAACTTATTTACTTCATTAATTTATTTTAATGCATTTAATTTAATTTTATAATTTGAATTTTATTAATTTCATTTAATTAAATTTTATTAATTTCATTTAATTAAATTTTATTAATTTCATTTAATTAAATTCTAAAAAAGAATTTTTAATTAAAAAATGTGTCTATTAAAAAAAAAAAAAATATATGAAAGCAGTAATAAAGAGAATTAGCGAATTTGAATTAAACAGAACTGGAAAAAAAAATTAAATTCCTTTAACGAATTAATTAAATTGTTCACTTTTGATGGGGAAATTCAATTGTTGAATGTAAAACGTAAACAGAAAATTGTTTCTGCAAAATGTTCTATTGTACATTCTTGAATGATTATTAAGTGATAAAAAGAGTCAGCAAGAGAGAGAGAGAGAGGGAGGGAAAGAGAGAAATATAGAAATAAGCTTTTCGCGTACTACTGGGAAGCGAAAATTTGAATTTGATGAATTTTAATTAATTTTGACAAGAAAGGGAGTCTAGTTCCACCACGTGATTCGCAATGCGGATGTCGTTTTAGAACAGTAGAGCAATTTAATTAACGATCTTGGCGCGTGCTTTCAAATATACGTTCAATTTCGAAGCAGCTATTACATATAAAGTCAGTCGACTTTATTCTCAATATGAATTGATGAAAAACAAACTTTACAATTTTTCTCATTTCTTTTTTTTTATTTATTTATGCGGGAATTATAATTTCCAGGAGAGTGGAATTTAATATTAAAATACTTTCGTGTTTTCTTTTTCGAATTTTGGTAACATCTTTCTTTTCTTAATTTTACTTTCATTTATTTTTAATTTTTTATTTATTTATTAAATTTAAATAGACAAAGAAGTCATTCTATTATTTATTTCGAATTTTTTTTTTTGTTTTATATATTTTTAATTTTTTATTTCAATTTTTTATTTTCTATTTTAATTTTTTATTTACTATTTTTACGTTGCTAAAGTTCACAACCTTTATAACCAACGATGTAGTAGAAAATATATTTTTTTATCCAAATGTTTAGCTAAAAACTTTTTCAACAATATTTTTTCACCAGCAATTCCAAAAATAAAAATTTGTAATCAAACAATATTGTTTTCTGGGTAAAAAATATTTTTTTTTACAATAGTTATTTCACAAACGTTGTGAACTTCATCACGTTTATTTTTATTTCTTTTTTTTCTATTTTGATTTTTTATTTACTATTAATTATTTTGATTTCCATTTTTTATTTCTACTTTTGTCTATTATTTTTTTTCTACTTTTAATTTCTATTATTATTATTATTATTTATTATTTTCATTTTTATTTTAAATTCTCTATTTTTATCTTTACGTTTCATTTGATTAAATATCAAAAAGATTTTTTTTGGAAAATTTCACGTCACCTTATATTTGCAGTAAATAAGTTAAATTACAAAAAAAAAGCTAGCGGGAAGAAAAAAACTACTTCCTTTGTGGTCAACATTTCTGGGCAAGAACCAAAAAAAGAAGTCACCTCTTTTTTCACAAAAGAAAGGGAATTTCTCGGAGCTTATTACTCATTCGCTCGACGAACGGATCTCTTCAACCCTTCGTATGCAATTTAAAACACTTTCCATTCTTTCACGCCGTTGTAAACTCAAATGCGAGCGTAGCTTTAGAGAGGAAAAAAAGAAAGAGAAGAGAAAAGAGTTGTAATTCTTTTTTGTAATTTTAAGTTGTGTTTGATCTTTTCAAATAACATGAGTAAATGTCAGAAATTTCATTACATCTCCTTTCCTGTGCCACTAAAAAAAAACAGAGTTATTTCTCATCACAACAAATTCGATAGGCAGTCAAATCAAAATTAACTTCTACTCCCTATTTTTCTATAAAATGTTCTAATTAACTTTTTCTATAAAATTTCTAATTAAATTTTTCTATAAAATTTCTAATAAAATTTCTATAAAATTTCTAATAAAATTTCTATAAAATTTCTAATAAAATTTCTAATTAAATTTCTAATAAAATTTCAATCAAAAAGAAATTTAGTGTAAAAAATTGTTTCCAAGAATGTGAGAGTATTTTTGAAAAAACTAAAATTTATAAAATAGATTTCCAGATGAATATGGAGAAAAATTAAAAAATTCCCCTTTCATTAAAATAATTCCGTTTGTTTGTAAAAAGAATGTTTTTAAAAAAAATATAAACAAAACGAAATGAAAATTTTTTTTTAAATTAAGAAAAAAATTTCTGCTTGTATACGAAGAAATCGATTATCTTAAACGACCTACACTCTCGTGATATCTTCTTCTTCGTCGTCGTTTTTCCGAAAGTTAGTGAAAGCTCTTAATTTTTCTTTCCCTCGAAAGGTACTTTCATCACTTTCAGCGACCACCTGCTACCCGCGAGACATATTCCTTTACATTGCTCGAAGTTAAAATCGTTAAACTTTTTTGGTTCGTAAAGTATAAAAAAAATTGAATGAAAAATCAATATTGTAAATGGAAAGAGGGATTTTTCTTTTTGAAAAATCGAAAACTTATTTATTTATTTATAACATTGACGGGAGAAGTCTTTTCTTGTGAATAGTAAAAAATAAATGGAAAGAGGAATTTTTTTCAAAGAAGTCAAAAAAAGAATTAGAATTTTTTTCGGGAAAATCGAGAATATTTGGATGAAGTTTTTTTTCGGAAAAATTGATAAGAAATGGAAAAAAGATAGTATTTGAAAAAAAAATAAATAAAAGAGGGATTTTCTCTTTATGAAAGAATTAAAAATAAATAGAAATGGAAATTTGTTTGGAAAAAGGATAATAAATTAAAAGGAGGTATTATCTTTCGGAAATATCGATAAAATGAATATAAATGGTCATTTTTTATTAAATCAGAAATAAATATAAAGAGTGATTTTTTATGTAGAAATAGATAAAAAAAAACATTTTTCTTGTAAAAAAAAATAAATAAACAAAAAAATAACAAAATAAATTAATAAATAAAATAAACAGAAAAAAGGATTTTTTCTTTGAAAAAAACAAAAATAAATATAAAAAGGAAAGGTTTTTATGAGAAGTCGAAAATATAGAAAAAAAATTTCTTTTAGAAAAATTAGAAATAATATAGAAAGTGGAATTTTTTTTTAAATTGAAAATAAATAGAAAAAGTAATTTTTCTTTTTATCAAAAAGGAAACAATAAAAAAGAATTTCGTTTCTGAAAAATTCTTTAGAATAATTAAAATTTTCTTAATGAAGATTATTGTTAATTTGAAAATGAAAGTACCAAATAAAAATTTTTGCGAAATTCAATTTTTCTCGTATAACAAGAAAGTTTCTCAATTCTCAATCAGTTTAAAAATTATTACTCAGAAAAATGTTCTACAGCTTCTTTTTTAAATAAATATTTAATTATTATTTTTCGATAGGAATTAAAATTCTTGAAAAGATTCAAAATCAAACCTTTTTGAAATTAAACAATTTTCAAAAAATTGTTATAAAACATGAAGATATCGATCACTCTGAGTCTTCGACTCGGAGCAATCGATATCTTCATGTTTTATAATAATAATTAAAGATGACCGACTGATAAAATCATTATTTTATATTTTATAAGAATATTGTTACTGTAACTTCATAAAAATTATTCTCATTTCAATTCAATTATTTTTTAGAATTTTTAACTAAAATTCTTCTTTAAATTAATTATTCATTTATTTTTAATAATTTTTGAAAAATTTCTTTGAAAATTTTTAAATTCTTTTGTTTACAATTCAATTTTACGAAATTTTATCGATTATTCGGATATTCTTCAATTAAATATATATTAGAAAATAAAAACTTCAAATAATTTCAAAAACGTTGCATTAAACTTTAAAAAAATTAAATCTACACAATTTTCAGTTAAAAGTATGAAAAATTTAAACTTTCAGAGATTATAATTTGAAACCTTTTCAAAATTTAATTATTTCTAAAAATTCACACTATAATACTTTCTCTTTAAATTTGAATTAGTAAA